ACAGGCGCGGGTGTGAATCTTGACTGTAACAAGATATTGGTCCGAATCGATGTTAGGACTTCGGAGCATAATCACATCTAAAAGACTGGAGACGTATCTTCTAATAGAAGGCATCTTTGATCAGGTCGCCCTTCTCGTCCGTCGGGGCGTGGGCGCAAATCAGCGATATGTTGAAGAACTTCGCTTTGATGCGGAACATGGCTAGAATTTGCGCTTCTTTATATGGTCAYTGTAGTAAATGCTACAAGAACCTACTCGCCTCAATCCTTGTCCCATCAATCGCCTTCACTCTAACGAGGACATCATCCTTAATTCGTTGACCATGGTCGTTTTCAAAAGGACGGTCTCTCATCAGAGGCTGTTGGAAATTTTTCATTGGGGCGTGTTTTACGTGGCGGGTCCCAAACCCTGCGCTGGGATGCTTCGCCGTCTCACTTTAGCTCGGCATCAAATGGATGTTCTTTGGCTACCCAGAGGATACTTGGYCTACGCCCAGAAGTCGTGTGCTGCTTGAGTCATATGTAAAAGAATCGTTACTAGCTACTCTCAAGGAAATGACTCCATCCTCCCTAAGTTTTCAGAGTTCATAAATTTTACTTGCGCCTTTTCCACACTATATAAAGCAATCACTACAATAGGACTTTCGTGAGCCCCCCACACCAAGTAAACAAGCGAAAGCAAACTCTGAACTGATTATTATATCTGAGTAAACACTGCACACATATTTCCCTTAAAYGAGAATTATATTAAAATAATCCTCAAATGAAATATATCTATCATAACCTTAACGGAAGAAACCAAATTTTATATATTGAGTTGAGTAGTATTAACCCTATGTTATCTATTTTWGGCATTACTACAGCAAAATAAGAGAAGTGTTGGATTTTAATATTTAGTGTGATAGCCTTGTTGATTTTATCCACTCCTCTTGAAGAACTTCTTTGTGGCCAGGCTTTGAACTTATATGATGAGTACTATCCGTTTTTCKRACTATGTYCCAAAAATACTCAAGTGGATTGGAATGGATGCTTTCTCTAGCAAATGCGGGATATTGTACGGCAAATACATAATTGTATTATGAGTCATAAGTTTGGTGTCGTTATTTTGCTGGAAATAAAGTGCTTCAGACACGCCCAATTTTTTATGATTGGCTTCAGATTTGAAATCTATATACGCACGGTGGTTCATAACTTGTTCTATTATTTCGAGATTGCCAACACCACTGGCAGAAATACAACCCCATTTCATCCCTCCACCAGCTCCGTACTTTGCTGTGCTGATAGAAATTTTAGGATTGAATGCTTCTCCTGGTTCCCCCATACTTAATTTCTCCCATCTGATCCAAGACTGTTGTATTTAGATTCATCAGATGTTCTGTTGTGATTTTTTGGGTACTTTTGAATGGATCTGCAGTCACCGCTCGCTTGATTTTTAACCGATCTCCATCCACGATTATTTAGGGCTTTTGTTTTCTACACGGCCTTAATATTTAATACGACCAATAACCAATTGAATGAAAGAAGAAACGATAAGCACCTGTTGTTAACTCGTCTAARACCGATATCAGTATCATCGGCATACGCCAGTATGTGTGTAGACACCAGTAGTGTACATACACTCTTATAGAAGATGGTACGTTCTCTATTTAGTTATGCACTTCGAACTATTTTCTCTAGAAGCAGGTTGAAAAAGTCGCACGATAAGGAATCGCCTTGTCTGAAACCTCGTTTGGTATCGAACGGCTCGGAGAGGTCCTTCCCGATTCTGACGGAGCTTTCCGTGCTGCTCAACGTCAG